GGGTTTTTTTTTTTTTTTTTTTTTTTTTTTTTAAGTGCCGGGACTATGCTGGGGCTAGGGCTGGATGGCAGATGGGGCTGGGCAGCCATGGGGGCTTCTCCCATGGCTCTGCTCACCTGGGTGAGGCAGGCACAGCTGGAGGAGCCACAGGAGACCCCGCAGGCTCCTGACTGTGTCTGCCTCTCCCCGGCCGATCCAAATCACTGAATGTCTCTGAATCAGTGCCAAATCTTCAGAAGTTGATTCGGCCGAATAAGTTCAGGACAGTGATCCATATCTCAGAATTGAATCACAGTCCTCCACATCAGTCAAATCCAAACTGAATAATTCCTTATTTGCACAGACCTACCAATTAGTTTTTATTAGGTGTCATACACAGCAGCTGCAGTATTCCAGCTAGGGGAATACTATGGATAAGAGCAGTGAAGCACGTTGGAGGGCACTACTGCTGTATACAATAAATTTTCAGTCTGGATATAGCCACAAGGATCTCTTTTCCATAAGGGTTATTCTGAATGTGAAACATGCCCCTTGTGGTGATTAAATTTAAAATGCATTATCTCATAAAAAAAGCAACTTGCTGAAAAATGTAGTCTTATCTCATTTGAAAATCAGGTTGCACAGGCTTCAGTTTTTTTTCTCCTCAGGTGCTGGGTTTTTTGGTGAACTGGTTATTTTAGTGCTTTGGGCCTCTAGTTAAACCATATTTCCTCCTATTCCAAGTAACAAGAATCCTTAAGAAAAAGCAAAATATTTCCCTAGTTCTCTTGAACTACAGTCTTCAATCCTATTGATGCAGGGCTTTACTAGTTTATCTTTGTCTCTCCCCAAGCTCCTACTCTGTGCTAGATGCCCAGTTTCTTCACTTTTGGCTTGAGAGAGTTTCCTCAATAGTGCTTGAGGTAGGGGAACTTGGGCCAGTAACCATGGAAGGATTATTTTCCCCTTCAGTCAAAACCATGTGTCTCCCTGGTTCAAGAGTTATTTCCTAAATTATGTTTCCAGTTCCTCTCAGCACCTTCACCAGTTGTTTTAACACATCTCCTTTCTGTGTTCATGTCATCGTCATCTCATTTTGGGCTTTTCCAGCCCCTCCCAAACTCCTTAATTAGGAAATAATCAATCCCAAATGTCCAATATCCCTCCCAGGCTCCTTTAATGATAAACCTTATATGTAGCCTCATTCCTGATTTCTGCCTACAATTTTTCTTTATATTCTCTGACATTCCTTCCCCGCATGCTTTGCAATGACCTTCACAGTGTCTGGGGTCTCTCATCTCTCTAGAATTCCTTTATTTTATGATGAATTGGGATTAATCCTTTCCTGCCTTGTAGTTAAAGAGACAGGACTTGGAGTAGGGGTGTGCTTACCAACCCTTAAAGCATGGTTATGCAATGAGAGTATATTGGAAATCAGAATTTAGAGGTAGCTCTCAGTGCTATTGAATTTTGCTTCCATTTTATATAGTGAAGTGCAGAACAAGTTTATATATGGTATGTTTGTGTGTTCAATTAATCTCTGTACTCTAAATTCCCTAGCATTGGGTATCCAGGCTCTTTCCAAGATAAGGCAAGATGCCCGTGTATCTCAGATGTTGAACAAATCTCCAAAATCTTTGAATTGTCTTGAGAACCTAATGTAGACCTCAGCTGCCCCAGTTCAACACCCAGTTTTCAGCATCTGCTACTTGTCCCTTCATTCACTATCTGTTCTTTATTTTAGTCATCTTCTCCTCAACTTTGTTTTTTTCTAGATCCCCTGCTGCCTCTTGTTCTACTGCCCATCTTTCCCTATATCCTATAGTTGTGCTTGACCCTACTGCTTCTTTAGCCCTTGTGTTTCTGAAAGTGCTATACAGTGCAATATCCTCTGAGCATCTCTGTTCATGTTCTACTCCAGTGACTGCGCTTGTGAACTCAGAGGGCTCAGAGATCAGTGGCACAAACCCATATCCTTAGATAAACCCAAGAAACATGGGGCAATAAAATAAAAGGCAGAAAATGTTTCTGCTCCAATTAATTTACTTTATTAATTCAGATACTAGTAGAGGATAAATTTATTTAACCCTTAAATTAGCAGATTTCCCACCTTATTAACTTGGTAGGAGAATGCTTACTTATAAGCAGGGATTCTGGTTTTCTCTGATTTTAAAAAATCCCTAATTTTCAGTTAAAAAAAGTAACCCCAAATCTACATTTTTCCATGATTAAAATGAAACATCACTATCTATATCTATATCTTAGTGGTGTTTCACTTAAATCACTGAAAAATACAGATTTGGGGTTACTTTTTTTAACCAAAAATTGGGGATTTATTTTAAATCAGAGAAAACCAGGATCCCTGCTTATAAGGATCTGGAACAACTTCAGAGTTACAGCATACTCTGTTTTTAAGTATGTCAGATTAACTGTTAATTTTTTTTCTTCCTCAGTGATTATTCTGGGTTACATGATTAATTGATATACAACAGCAAGAAGCTGATGTCTGTAGATTCTCAATTTTGGTACCAACATTGAGAAAATATTTTTAACTCAGCACTCGTATTGTCCAGATGCCTTCGTTCTTCAACTCTGTGGTACTAACATGCACACATATTTCATTCTTAATACCAAGTACTAAAGCCCAAGAGTGTGAAAAGTCTTTTATTTCCAGGAAGCTGTGATGGTTATGAAGAATTCTACCCTTGGCTTAAAGTCTAAAAATACAGCTCTAATGAGGAGCTGTCTGTAGTTAAGTTCACTCAGCTAGAAAAAAGGCAACCAATGGCACTAATTATATAATCTGGTTTGGCAACAGCAGGTCTTAATTATTCCAAAAATCATGCAAGTTTTTTAGTAAAGTTAGTCATTTAAGAAGTTCCTTTTCCATTGTTCATTTTATCTGGCTTTTTGATGCTAATCTACTTCAGAAGATGCCATGGTTAAGTTATGTTTATATCTATCTGTCTACACACACACACACACACA